TCATGCATGTTGTAATGACCAGCCTACATAATATGATTAACTAGTTTATATAGTTAACCGAAATAAACATTTTAAGTATATGGCCTTTGTGAAGGTTATACAGCTTGTCATACCAATGAAGAATATGTTTGAACGAGTCCAAGTGCTTCAGCTCTTATCTCTTGATGAGTAACTCTCAAACGTAATTCATCACTAGGACCTACAAGAGATATCTCTTGTATAATTAGTACAATAGTAAAGGATGCTGATAATAATAATAATAATAATAATAAGGTGGTCTAAGTTTCCAACAACTCAAAGTCAGGAGGAAACATGCACCAGGAAGCATCATCCAAAGAGAAAGTAGTGTTTTTCTGATTCTTACCAGCTCGCAGTTGTGGTTGCACATGCATCACCTCACGATAACACCTGTTAAAGAACCTGCGAAGCACCCTGCTACTGAAATTTATGTATCTATGATCAGTAGCCTCAAGTTCAAGCACATTGATTCCCTGATCTGCACCATTAGGTATACTCACAGTCTCTATCGACTGTGTGGTAGACATACGGCCAGCTGAAAGAAAAGAAAGACATATCGACATTATGCATGGTTTCACTTTTAAACAATAAGCAATTGAAGTAAAGAATCAGAAAGAGGCATGCATATGATGTTGATATATTTTCAAATTGCTGTGTTACCAGATTGGGAAACTGTAGGAACCTCTAGCTAATTTATTCTGTGTTAGCGAAAGCATAGCAAAATGAATATTTCATCTAGTCTCTTTCTTAGAACATTATTGTGCTCTTCTTATTCTTTACTCAATTGGTCTCTTCTTCTTCTTCTTCTTGGTTCTTCTTCATTCTTTCTCTTGTTACAAATTATAAACGCTAGTCTTGAGTCCTAAGTATATATATATATATATATATATCAAATAAATGCAATATATTGTATTCTCTACTTAATTACCTCGCTAGTTACACTACAAGCAAAATGCCTTTTACTAACGGCACTTTATACAGACGGATTGAAATCCGTTAGTATACTCCGATCTATACCCATGGAAAAATATATTCGTTAGTATAGGCTGGGTCTATACCAACTGAAAGCATATCTGTTAGTATAGATTGGGTCTATGCCAACTGAAAAATATATCCGTTACTATAGATAAAATCTATACCAACTGAAAAATGTATCTGTTAGTATATACTAGATTTATACAAACAATTTACTAATGATCCGTTAGTATAGGCTGGGTCTATACAGACGAATTACTGTATTCCGTCTATATAATTCATTTAAATCTACATGCCACACTTTTTCTTTTTAATTTCTACAGTCGGTATACATATTCCACTTCCCTCGATATCTTCCCAATTTTTCCTCCCAAAATTCTGAGTTTCTCTCCCGGCTAGACCTAAATATTTCCCTCTCCCAAATCTAGTTCAACTCCAACCCTCACCAAAATTCATTTCCCTTTTCTCTCCTCTCCTATCCTTTCCCTTTTCTCTCCTCTCCTATCCTTTCCCTTTCTCCCTTCCGCTGTTCATGCCATCATCATCTGATCGAAGGGGCTAGCCAGCGTTCTCTTTGTGGGACAGTTCTCTTATAGTGCAAATCTGATGTTCGAGCCAAAAAATTTTGACTAATTTTCGGCTTGATCTAGTGTTAGGGACCTTGGATCCATGTTTCAGGCTTGGATCGGCCCACCGGTGGAGCCGATTAGTGTGTGCCCAGAGGCTAGATCTGATGTTGGATCGAGTTCAAACAGCATCGAAACGATATTTTGTTTTCTATCGATTCGTAATGTCGACCGCAATGCATCTCCATGATCAGTGTTCTTAGGTTCCACTGTGCGCAGTGGGCCATAGCACCAACCGGATACCTATAGATTCGTCTTCTGTCAAACCCTAGCTTGCTCGAGGTGTTTTTGGAATGTTGGACACCAAAATAGAGGGTAACTTACTGATCCTTATATTTTCATTTGTACTTTCAAGATTCTATTTATCGCTTTTCTCTATCATAGAAAAAATCTTTAGAAATTGCAATTATTAAGGCATATATTTTGCACCATTTGTATAAGAAAAAGTTGATTCTAAATAGGAAGACGTCCTAGATCTACATTTGATATAGTATATGGAAATTTTTTATCATTTGATATTGTGAAATCTACATTTGATGTAGTATATGCTAGTGAACAAAGGAATAAAAGAAGTACTGCTGGAAAGTGAGTTATCTCAGTTCTCCGTATTTTAAAAAGTACTAACTGAAGAGGAAAATGCATCATCGTGTTTTTATGATTGCAAGTATTGCCTTTATGAATCTGTAGGGGTTTAGGTCGAAGCTTATTGGCTTCTTTT